TTTGTTTGATTTTGTTGCGTCTTTGAATTTGGTTCGGCGCTGTTTCGATTGGTTTTATATGATTGGCTTCTTGCTTACTGTACTGACTTCGGCCTTTGCTTTTCGTGCTGCCATGCGCCGCTGGTTGCCTGCAAAGACATTTTTCCTGCAGATGTAGCCTTGAGTCAGGCAGTGGAAGACGGAGGGCAGTGCCCAGCACTGCGTAACAGCAGAGAAGAGGTGAGTAAGCTTGAGACAATCATCATGATCCTTTGCATGGTTGTTATAGCGGCTATAGCGTGATTGGAGGAGGTGTTCTTTCGCGAGTGCTCTGGAAGTTGCGCCAAGAGTTTTCACGGTTCTGCAACACATGGGAATACTTGAGGCACGCAACGAGATTGAACAGTGTGTGGTGAAATTGCAGATGAAGGAAGCGGAAGCGATCCTGAATACATCGATGGAACAGTTATTTTACCGCGCTATACGTAATCCAACTGTGGATTGGAACCACACAAGATGGATGAATTGGGCGTTGCTGTTCGATGTCGTTTGCCGCCCCACGCAAGAAACTGCACGAAAGAGGACAACTACATGTGCGCGTCAGAATGGTGAGGTTAGAGAAAGAAGAGCAAGAAAAAACAATTGAAAGAGAAACAGCAAGAGGTTCCAGAGATTCAGAGCCAGCGCAAAACCAGAGAGAAGGTCATTTGAGAGTGTAGCAGCATTCTTGGGGCGTGAAAGAGATGAAGAGCAAGGAGAAGAGACTGCGTCAAACGAGACATTTGTGCCATCAGAAGCTCCCCGGACTATGGAAATCTAAAACGCAGTTGGAACTACTCGTAGGACTGCCGGAACCTGACTATAGTATGAAAGGATATGATGACTACAGCTTCAACTTGACGTGTGAAGGCTTTTGTTTTGAAGTCTACACCGTGGAGAAACTACGGGCTTTCAGACACTGACAGATGAGCAGGCTGATCCAGATCATGACACAATCAATGATGCAATTGAGACGTTCGTGCAGTGTTTCAAAAAGTGCACCAAAAGGAGGGCCAGTAGCAAGAAAGCGAGTGATCAATTGCATCTCGACAATGAGACAATATGTTCATCGCATTAGAGAAGGTCATGCAGATCAGAAAATTCCATAAGAAGATTCCAGGTGGCCAGACGGTTGGATTAGTGTGAACCATGGACCGTATGGCGTTCCAGGAGGAAGTGACATTGAAGTCGAAAGACAAAAGTGATCGAAGAGCAAGAAACTTGAGTGGCGCAACAAGCAGATCAGAAGACTATGAAGTTGAAAACCGAGCGAGCGCAGACCGCAGTGATCGCAAAGGAGTGAAAGGTAAAGGAAGGCCAAAAGTAAGAAAAGGTGGAAAGCAAAAGAGCAACGATGCAGGCTCGAAATGCAAGAGTTCAAGAACAGAGCAGAGTGGGCCTTACTCCACAGGCCGAGCAAAGACGAAAGATTGCAAGAAGGGCCCGTGTGAGAAAGGTGGAAAGTCGAAAGGCAAGAACAAACCCTGGAAGTTGAGAAATTGATTTTGAATGGAATGGTGTTTAAAGCACTGCAATGCAAGGAAATTTGTCCGAGTAGGCGTACGTAGTTGAAGGGGTCATTTGTGGCTAACACGTGACATGAAGGCAGGGTGTAAAGCAATCACCATGCACACCCATGTCTCTACACTTGAGGTTCACATGCCACCTTAACACAGGCTCAAAATTCAGGGAAAAAGGAGCGTTCCATTGCGTTTCTGAGTTCCTTCATTTTTTTGGTTCTTGGTGTCCTCCTTTTGTCCTCCTGGTTTATTTCTGTTGTTTTCTTTGTGTCCTTCTCTTGATTTCTTGGTGTCATGGGGTTCTCTTACGAAAAACACTGGCCACAGTCCCTGGCCGCGCCTTTAAGCCTTGTGTCCGGGTGTAGCGCTCTTTTTGTCCAGCCCTGCTGTCCCCCCTCTTGTCCTCTTGGTGTCCTCCTGCTGTTTTTGCCCGCGCTGGCAAACCCTGTGTTCCCCCCTAAGTTTACGTTGTCATTGTCCTGTCCAGGCTTTCTTTGTTCTGTTGGCCTGGCCGCTTTGTCCGGATGCAACAGAGATGCACTGTTTCGAATCAGGTATCATCCTCGGATTTTCTCATGACGTATATATAATATATATACCTTCGTTTTTTCGCACGTGAGTCAGGCAGCAAGAATTGTTATTTTCACTCATGTTTTGTTTACGTGCCTTTCCGGAGGCTATAGACAGACGTTCCCACCAACACTAGAATTTCTCAGGAGTTGACGCTTAAACATGTCATTGCTGACACTGTTTGGGGTTTATGCTGGCCTAACGTTGTTCCTTCGTTGTTTCTTCTTGTTTACTTTTCGCAGGATCTTGTACTTTAAAGACTGTCGGACAGATCCCGCGAGTTCCTGTGGCCATTTTGTAGGTTGTGAATGAATTTTTACGTAGTTAAACAATTCCACTTTCTCAAACAAACACGCAAACAGTCTCAGTATAATCATCATTCAAGGAAGGCTTCCATGAAATGCCATGTCGGTTTGGATTCTGGGAAGTTGAGAGGTGACACGCCATTGAATTTACTTTGAAGAGACGAGAGGTGACGGGTCAATGGGGTCAAGCCATCTTTGGCTCAAGGTTCTATTTCAGGCCTGTCCTTCCATGTATTCGTGCCCCGATGGCATTGTTGAAGTGACTTGGGTTGCACTCAAAAAACAACTGCCGCCGCTGAGTGAGATGGTGTCCCTCTGAGGTCACTGTTGCTGCACTTTGTCGCAGCCCAATGTTACAAGATCATGTGCCTCAGCAGCAAAAGAACCGGTCGAGACTAGTGTTTCGACGGATTACCGCTGCGGGTTATTTGGGCGAAGTTGTTTGTGGTGTCCGTGACATGCAACATGTTAGTTAATAGCTTCTACAGTGCACGTTCTTTTACTTTCGCCCTTGTTTTTTTGTTGCCACAAACAGAATCACGGAAGTTTGTAGGAAGAATGACAGAAACAACTTTGCAAGCAAACATATCGGTATATTATACTGTTTATGACAGTTTATGATGGTTTATGTATTGTTTCAAATATGCAAATATGTACACATGCATATGTTATATACACATGTATTCATTTCTCTGAATTATTAGCAACATAATCTACGCTGGCTTGGTAAATGATAGAATCAGAGAAGTGACCTTCGTTCGGGAAGGGATCTCGTTTCGTTCAACAGTTCGGTCGACGTTGCTTTTAAGGCTTTTTTGGTCTGTCGCGAGCTGAGAAATGGTCATTTTTGCTTGAATCAGAGAGAATGTCAGCAGCTTCACACGTGGTTGGAACAAAAAACAACCGTTGGTATGTTTCGGTTGGCATCTTTTTGGTGTGCAGGGATTATGAGATATAGAGACAGGGAAAGCAAATTGACATTTGGTGGATTTAGTCGTAAGCATGTGTTGTTGGTGTTGGCTGAGCCTCAACTTGTTTGGTGTTGGGGCTGCGCAAGGTTTGTTGTTTGGCATGGGGAAATGCAGGCTAACGAAGAATCGGAGTCCTGCCGGACACACCCCAGTCCGCGGACCGCTTGGATGGTCCGATCGGTCGCGCAGGTGGACTCTGATGAGCGCACCATTGACTTGGTCAAGCGGAACGTGGCTCACGCGCGGGTGCAGGGAGGCCGCGATTGCTGCGACGTCATGCTCCTCGCCAGAGTGGAGTGGGGAGCGCGGATTTGGTGTGTGAGCACGGAGATGTGTCAGCACGACAAGTGCGAACACTATGTATTTGAATCTCTGCAGTTTGGTCATGTCAATGATTCCATGAATCTTTGCAGTTTGGTCACGCTTCTGATCGGGTTTCAGTGTTGGCTTGAGGAACCTGGGTGACAGGACTCACCAGTTGCAGTAAAGTTAGGCGGAAGAATGAATCACCATAGAACTTGACAAACCTCTTTCCTCTACCAACATTTCTTCAATCGGTTTTCCTGACTACACGACTTGCCGCATGTTTGTGTCACCATGGCATACCATAGCCATGTTTTCTTGGGATACCCAGAACGTGACAGCTCCAGATGCTGCGATGCGCTTCGGCACACGACAAATCGTCTCACGGCGAATCCTCTCACCGATATGTTGCATTTGCTTGAGGTTAGCACACTACCAAGGCAGGGGACGAGTTCCACATGCGAAGAGAGACACGAAACTGTAGATGTTGCCGACTCCATGTTGCTGTGACAAGGAGTTTGAACCAGCCAGGTCACTGCTTAGTGGGTACAGGATGCTTGCATCGCGATGCCTCTGCGCAGAAGCTGAGCTTTCTCAGCTTTCGCGTTTCGTCTCCGCCCCCTTTTTCGCGAGGGTCTCCCTGCTTGGGGAAGGAACGCAAAGTCAGTCATGCCAGAGTCCCAGACCGGAGTGACTCCCCCCCATTGGATCTGCGATGAACTGGGTTTTGTTGAAAGGAACTCTTTCAGGTTCCACCCACGAACGCCCGTGGCGATCCTCGTCTTGATACGTACCCTCCGTGACTCGTCTCCCGGGTGCTGCTGGGATGGGATGACTGCGCCTGCGCAGGTGGACCCAAAGACTGGGGCTTTGACTCTTGGTACGAATGGATCGGGCAATATGAGAACACATATATAATCCTATTATAGAATATGAGCATTTTGTTGGCAGCCACAGGCAAATATCGTGATATATTCCGCACTTTGTTTCATCTTTTTAGTACAATGTCTCTGACCAACGGAGTCAATCTGCTTCCACTTCAAGATCGCTTCCACTCCAAGGCGGCATTTGGTTTTGCATGGCTGAAGCCCCAAGACTTGAACAGTGCTCGTCTTGTTCATGCTGCGTCATGATCCACCAAACCGTTCGTTGGTACCGCGTCGCCGCATCGCACGGCGGTGGACATCCGGTCCGATCAAAGCTGAGGAGTGGTACAACAATCAAGTGAAGTATACACTGGTCAGTCCTGGCTACAAATACAACTTGCTCGTTGGCATCAAAGGGGGGCGGTCTTCGCGTCGGCCTCGCGCCCGATGGGGGCCGTCGGGCCACTTGACGCCGCTGTGAAGAGGAAGGAGGGCCTGCTCCTGCTCAGGAGCTTTTTTCCTAGAAGTCCGTTCAAAAATTCTGGTGTGTCTGAGGCTGAAGAAAGCCTACAAGCAGGCTATGTCCAAGTGGGAAGATGACTACGAGTCACCCGGCGGCAGCAGTCGTGCAGATGGTTGGCCCGGCCAGCATGGGGCTCATAAGAGTACGTCGTAGTTGAGAAAATGCCAAAGAAATGGTTCAACACCGAAAAACCACGACATTTCATAGAGTAGTCACTCTAAAAATGGATCCCATGTTTGATCCCAATGCGACTATGACCCTGTGGTCCCCCAAACCCAAACAGTGCTGTTTCGGGGGTGCTGGGGTTTGATACATCTCGGCCGGGAGCACCCAGGTACATCTGGGCTTTGGACAGCGATATTGACTTCACAGGCCTCCGATGAGACTGGTCATCTCGTTGAGGGAATTCTAGACGTGACTCTGGCGAATCCAGACGTTGGATTCAAGAAGTTTGGATCTCAGAAGAATGGAATTCGAACTACCCCTAGACAAGAGGGACGTGACAGGTGACAGGTGACATTCTACTCGGACCTTCAAGGGGGATATATATGGTGTTTTGATGGGATTTGGAAGCGGAAGGAACTGGTTCAAAAGGCACTTACTTGGTTTACCTTCTGCAGCACACCGGCACACCTGTCATTTTCTTTGCCCCTGTTGTTGAGCACTTGAGAGCTGACTTCTTTGGATAGAGAGCTGACGACTTGAGATGGAGTGATGGGGCACATTCTGCGGTTTGGAGAGAACTCAAGCATCATTTGAGAAAAACACCGAGGACAGTACCCGAGGAATGGCGTATGTTGTAAGTTTTGTGGTTCTGCTGCTGCAAGGGGGCAGGATTCGAGAACAGCGAGTGAGGAATCTCAGTGCAGGAGACATGTCAACCTTCCTTTGTTTTCTTCACCAAATTCTTGACATCAAGCCTGAAGCAAGCATCTCAGCTCCTGTTTCCCTCCTGGTTCCGTCCGTGTCTCGCACCAACACCGAGACGAGGGTTGCCTCTCGTCAGACAAAAACAAGCCCACCGAGGGGTGGGAAGAAGCGGCCGAACGAGCCACGGTCTGTTCAGGTGCGGATCTCATCACCCTCTTCTCCTTGGCCAGAGCCTCCGGTTCGCTCATTGTGGGACCCACCTTCGTAGGCGAGGGTTTGAGGGCGGGTTTTGGGCTGGGTGAAGAGTCCCCAGGGAAAGATCTGTGGGGTCAAGGGAGGCTCTCCTCAACATCTCCTTGGGCCGAAGATTAGAAGCGAGGCAGCTACGAGTCGAGCGGCCGGGTTGAGAGAGATGGGAGCGCCCCATGGAGTCATGGTGGCCCTTCAGCCGGCCCCAAGGGGCCGAACGTTTCCAGGCACTCAATCATGGCTCACCTATACCATGAGCGCCTGGGTGGCACCAGGAAGCAGATCGCCCCCGGCGAACGGCAAGGACCGGGTGGGATGGTGGGGTAGACCCGGTGTGAGGCTGAGGGCGGCACCTGCTTCGCGCGGGGGGTGGGACATTTGGGGTCAAAGGTAGGGGTCCGGTCACCGTGTCAAGCCATAAAAGGAGTTGCGTTGGGCATGGAGTAACCTTCCGACCATTTGCGGGGTTTGCGCGGAGAAAGAGAGTCATGACGTCGTTTTCCCTAGCCCTAGCCCATGCGGACACCATCGCAAGGCCCCCGTGCACGCCCAATGGGTATGTCAGAATGGCTGGCCGCCATCGTGGCGGGTGTCCTTTCTGCTGAGGTATGTCGGAAGTCACCGCGCATGGCTCTCTAGTACGGCGTGACCAAAGCGATTTTCAGAGCAAGATCAATGTGGCTCGGTGCTGTGACGCCAGGACCGTGCTGTGACGCCAGGACCCACAAGGGGTACTCTTAATGAACACTCCTTAAGTCCTTAACTTCTAAGGGGCTATGACACCCCTTTTCAGGGGCACCGGAAGATGGGTGTGAGCAACACCCGGTTTTTGAGAGGAAGAGGCCCCACGGAGCGGACGAGAGACCGGTGGCGGTTTGGAGCGAGACCATCACAAGAGTCCACACTGTGAGGTCTTGGGGAAGCCCGATCCCCGCTGCAAGCTGCGGCACACGGACTTCGTGGAGATGACGGCGCCGCTCTTGTCCAACAAGGTGCGGAGAGCGGGGAGACGCCGCTTCCTGCAGCGCAGGAGCGGGAGCGGACGCCATCCGTGATGTCCCAAAAGCGAGCCAAAGGGATGGTATAACTTAAGACGTGTCTGCAAGTGGTGGTCCGGTTAGGGCGTTTGGTTACCGCTTGCTGCTTTCACCAACCTCTGATCCGGCTCGGGGTGGTTCCACCGGTCGATCCGGCTCGGTCTTGGCCGTTCCGGACGGTGGTTTTTCACACGAAAAACGGTGAGGACACGAGAGAATGAGGGGCCAGACACATCCGAATGGCGCTCAAAGCAAGCACTTGGGTGTGTTTGGATGTCCAGAATGTCCAGAAATGGTGGGCTTCCGTCGGTCTTTTTGGAATGTCTTTTTTTTGCCGCTCAGTCGGTGACCGCAGTGACCGCAGTCGCAGTTCACATGGCGAAACTGTGCACTGGTCGGTCTCGCTTGGTAGGTCCTGGCGCTCATCTTGACGCTCGGAAGAGAAGGGCAGAACGGGAAGAGAGCTCAGGGACATCCTCCGGGCAGGGGGGGCCTTAGCTCGGTATGAAAACTGAGTTTCAGGCTGTTTGGGATGTTTGAGCTGTTTTTGGGTCTTATGGAGGAGAATGCTTGGACCATTCGGACGCATTCGGACTAGGTGGGGGCGCACTATTCATCCACCGACCTGACCTGACCCGTTCGGCTCGACATGACCCGTCGGCCACGCGTTCGGCTTGTTAGGCGTCGGATTACTGCAGGTCCAAGAAAGCCGGGGGGGGCTGGCCCGTTCTGCGGATTCGGAGTGGCTGGGCCTCCGCACTGCAGTCCTCGGTGCAACTGTATGTGGCCGCGCCAAGCTGGGTTTGAACCAGGAAGAAGGATCACTTCGCCTGCAGTCCTCGCCCCTGACAAAAGGATGGTGTCATGATTGCTAGATCATTTTCCATCCGGGGTTTGCAAGGTTCCCAAGTCTTTGGCTCACTGCATCATGAGTTCGTCCAGGAAAGATTGCGTGGATTGCGTGCACGACAAGGCTGAGTGGGGCCTTGACCGAGTCTGGTGCAAGCTGGCGCAGAAGCTCTTGTGACTTGGCTTCCTCCATCGGGGAGGAGAGAGAGGAGCCTCGGTTCCTGGGGCTCGCAGAACTTTCTTCGCCCAGCAGAAGCTAGGTCAGAGACGTGGCAACACATCACCCGGAGGTCTTGAGGTTTTAGAATTGGCGATAAGGTCACTAGGTTGGTCTATGTCTGGGGCCTTTCTGATCTTCATTTGATGGAGGCTGACGTCGAGTTTTTGGGTCAAAGATGTGTTGAGGACTTCGGCTCGCTTGTGGTTTCCCTCTCAGCCATCTTCCGGGGGTGTAGCCGCGTAGCCGGCTCCGAGAGAACTGAGGGCTCAAAGCTCAAAGCCCTGTGCTCTCCTGGATGCCTCGCCTGTGCAGCACTTGGATTGGAAGAAGGTGCGGCCTCAGCGGGTGATTGCAGCAAAATCAGCTATTCGATGTCTTTCTCCATTACTGTACTGTACCATATATACCACAAAGTCTGTTTTGCCGGAAGCCAGATACCGGATGAAAGCAAACGTCTGGTCCATTGCATTCTTGCATTCGTTCGTGGTCCTCTGGTCCATGAGGGGTCCAACTGGGGTCCAACTACCTGAAGTGAGACAGGAGCCCGTTGGGTACATGGTACATGATCCGCTTCTTGTGATCACGGGGTTCCTGCTGTTCCTTTCGGAGAGGACGTGTATTTGACTTGCTGATTGCCACACTTGTATTAAAGGAGTGTGGTACTTTCATTGGCCACAACTTCTAGACGCCCCGGGTCTTAGAGTCTTCCGGTTCCCCTTCCCCGGACCAGAACCATGTTTGCTGGGTGGGCAACCTCCCCCTCGACCAAACCAGTTCCTGGCGTCCGAGCACGCGTCGTTTCCAGCGCTGGACCTGCGCTGGGCCGCCCTCGTGTGTCGAAACTAGTTCACAGTTAACGTCATGGCAACTAGATCAAGTTTCAGGGTATCTTGTCTTGAAACCAATGTCTTGTTTCTCTTCTGTTCTTCTGTTAAACCCTTGGACTCAAACCCAACGAACCAGCAGCTGCCAGCTGCCTGTCGAGGAGCAGGCACGAATCTGATTGTTGTTTTTTTTTTCCCAACAAAATCCACAAAAGTCCTGCCAATTGAGAAGCCGATGTAACCGATGTATATAGTCCACCCGAACTGGGCCATTCGGGGTAAACACCCAACGGAGGGACCCAATGAACAGACGGTCGCGAAGTAGTTGAGGTCTCTCGCTGTGCGACCTTTCATGGTTCGCGGAGCTATACCTTTCCTTTCAGGGTGTCCTACAATAGTGTCTCACAAGTGTCTCGCACAAAAGAGTGTCCTGCACGTGTGCGACCCACATATGTGTGGCACAAGAGTGTCGACCAGGTCGAAGTGTCCAGCAAGAGTGTCGCACATGTGTGTGGCGAAGGTTGTCGCACAAGAGTGTTGCACAAACGTGTTTTGCCAAAGTGTCCTAGAAGAGTGTCGCCCAGTGTCACCCCAGAATGTCCTTCAGGAGTGTCGTGGGCAAGATCTAGCCAGAGTGTCAAACCACGGTTTGGCTGTTTGATGCTATTTTGATCCTTTTTGTGTCCCATGTGGCGCGCATGTGTGCCTTTTGGGGCCAACCGTGGGTTTCTTCACCGGCGAAAACAGCCGTGAACCGCGTTCCTCGCGAAGGCGGTGGTGACCCCCGACTTCAAGGCCTCCGAGCTGGCCGTGAAGTCCGAATACCCGGAGTACTGGCGGCTTGGGCTCCATCCGAGCGAGCGAGCCCGGGGAACCGGGGGGTGAACCGGGGGGTGGTTGGTTGGATGTCATCTCAGTTCGGTACCTTTAATAGGTACTGGGTGGTGCCGTGGTTTCCGGGAACTGGTCGGAACAGGTCGCTTCGGATTGAGGTGCTGCGAGGGGTTCCAGTTCTTCCAATTGCAGAACTGGCGACCCGAAAGAAAGACTAAGCGATCACTGAAGACCTCTAATTGCCATCCTGTGTTTTGTGCGGGCAGGGAGAAGGTGCATCCCTCTCTCTCTCTCTCTCACTCTTCTTTATTTTGTTTTCTTTCTTTCTCTGTTTCCTTTTGGATGAGATTGGATGAGCATCCATTTTGCGCCTGCCGAGGAACTACAAGCAGACCTCTCATTGGATTATCGCCCCCCAAACCCATTGGTTGGGACCAGTCTCCATACTGATGAGGCCCACCTGGTGGTGGTCTAGTGTTGAACCCCACACACACCGGGCACGTGGATTGCGCGCGCGTGTTTCGCGCGAAACACGCCACAGCTGAGGTCAGATGTGCGGAACATCGACTGTGTCGCTTGGAGTGTTTGGGTCAGGGCTGATCATCAGGGGACCCCACTAGTTCAAGGCAAATGCAGAGGTCCTCCAAAACTGCACTCAAGTCTTTTCTTCATTTATGCCTGTTTGGTTGGCTTTGGTCTGATTCCAGGCTTGAAAGAAAGCCCAAGCAGCCTGCCGGAGCGTCGCGAAAGCTTTGTTATTGAGCGGTGTAACCTGAAATTGCTGGGTAGGGAAGAATATAGACAATAAACATGACCACGCCAAGGCAAGGGTTTTTGGTCTACTTTTGCATTCTTGCACTGCAGATACAGACACAAACAACCATAATATACCATAATATACATATATATATATATATATAGATTTTGGATGAACGTCTTCCACTTCTTTCCTCTCTGATGGCCATCCTATCACTTCTACAACGAATTGGTGCCAGGTGAACGATTTCCGAGAAGCAGCGCTGGTGGATGCTCAGACATTGATGGATATCCTACCAGTCCAACCAGAAGCCATGAACCATTCGGTGCACTAGATTTGTTGCCCTCGAGCAGCAGTTGAAATTGGCGACCCGGGCTTACACCGAGCAAAGTCCGTTGCCCCTGGACTGCCTGGTCATGGTATACAAGGTGCCAAGGTGCCTTCTTGTCATCTTAAAACGCATCTCTGATTTCCATTGATTGGACACCTGCGTTGACCTCACCAGACTCCGACTCCGCAGACCGCGCGGCGACCGGACGGCGGTCCGCCCGGGGGCGCCCGAAGCGGCGAGAACGCCTCGAAGGGGCGACGCCGGCGACGGCGAGGACGCGCCGAACAGAAAGAGGGTCGGAGCGTTTTGGGTCGCTCGAGTTGGGTCGTGGCGTGGGGAGAAGCGCCGCGAACGTGAAGAAGAAGAAGATATTGACATATCCAGAAAACTGTAGAGGTTTTTGGAGGTGTTTTCGGTGTTTCAAACCGGGTTCTTTCTGGGGGGAAGCGAGTTGATGCGGCGTTTTGATCCCCGGATGTCATGCCTCCATGTGCCACCCAGTCCGAACAAATGATATCCCGTGTCACAGCAGGTGGGGTTCGAGCTTCTAATATTTCTGATAGACGTGGCTCAAGGAAATACCTGGTGGCTTGAGCAGCCGGCCTGTGGTATTTGCAGTGTTTTACTTAAGATCAGCGGGCCCGGAACAAGCTAGACTAACTGAAAGGGAGTTTGCTTGAAGCTAATGGTTCTGTTCATCGCAATGTTGGACGATTTGCCGTTAGATCTTCACAGCAGCCTAGTCAGTGCTCAGTACATTTTCTTGGAAGTGAGTCGCAGCTGGACCCCACTTTTCGGGGAACCTGTGGCACAAGGCCAACAGGAGATGGGCTGTTCCTCGAGCATCTCAGCCTTATTTGGCTGTCAACATGTCAGCTGAAACGGGAACTAGACGTGTCTAAAAAGATCAATTTGACGAGGACCTTTCCAGTGATCTTTGTAGGACAGGTCCCCTTATGCATTGCCAATGCATCCGTCTCGACGACTTGATCTGCGAGAACTGTTTACCGAGGCACTGCGGTCGAAGTGAAGACGACGCAGTCCTTGGAAAAGACACGAAAGACGACCGGAGTTGCTTGGTTCAGACGACCGGCTTCGGAGGATCGGTGCGGATCGGTCGAGAAAAACACGGTCCGTGCCTGAACCGGCCGGGGTGTGTGGGATTATATATACCTAGAACCTGAGAGACCTCTATTTTTGACCATCCACCACTCAAAACCTGATCTTTTCCTATCAAAACAAAGGTCAAATGGGTTCTAGGTATATATATATATACACACACATGATTATACATGGATACATATCTTCTGTGGTTTTTAACTTGTAAACAGGACCCCTTCTGGGCGTGTACTGTGAAGCAATCTGCACGTTTTGGAGAGAACCAGGAACCCCCAAAGACCCTGGATGGATTTATATATAGATGGAACCTGGTTGAAAACAAGCACAAAGAGGTCCCAGGTCTCTCATTCCCGTTCCCCTCTTTTTGGAGTCCAAAGAGATGAATGATGAAAGGGTTGCTTTTCCCACCACGGCCGCGGCGCTGGGGTCTTCCCAGCCAGGTAAGCCTCTCGATGATGTCGACAGGGATTTCGCCGGAGACGCAGGGGGAGAGGATGGACGGTCAGATGAGATTCGCTTCAGGCAGGAAAAAGGAGGTGACGAGAACCGACGGAATAGGTCTTGAAAGAGGATCTCCAGTTTGCGGTCCTATACCAGCACGGTAGCACACTGAAGTGAGAGGTAGATCGGTGTCAGAAGGGCTTAAATTTGTTGATCTTCACCAGATCAAGATTGTTTGGCAGGCGTGGTAGAGAAATTGTGGCACGCAGAGGGGATTTGCAGCAAGAGCAAAAAAGTCGCTGGAAGCATCATGGTCTGTGCCATTCTGGAGCATCCCTCAGCAAGCGACCATGCACATCCCCTGAATGCTTTGACCTGAACGCTTTCTCCCAGTCGCAATTTTGCTTCTTCCACTAGAGGTGCTCAATGGTGGAGCGCGGATGCCAAGAGGGCCCACACGCAGTGCCATGCATGTTGAATGGTTGCAACAATAGACCAAGGAGATTGACCAGTGCCAGTGTTCCGATCCTCCATCTTCAGGGAGTTAGCACTGTTGTCATTTCAACATTAACAATTGCCACTCTTGGAGAAAGTATGGGGAGACGCAAGGCGGGGGACAGCGGCATCCTGAGCCTTTCTAAAAAAGCCCTTCGAGCAGATGACAGGAACCGTCAGACAGGAACGCATCAGCCAGGAACCCCCTGCTTGGAGAAGTTGGATGGACAGCGAGTTCCACGCCCTGGAAAGGAATTTAGAGTTCTTTTCGTGGAAAGAAGGGGGATCACCAGTCGGGACCGCTCCACAAGCTTTCAGGGAAGCTCCACTAAAAAGTGGTGCAAGCTTTCAGTGAGCCGCGTACTCTACAGATCTCTACAGTGAGCCACGTTAGGTGTTTGTGATGCTCGCCGGGCTCGTGGATGGCCTGGCAGGGCTTTGATGTGATGGGGTGGGGTTCTGACCTGAAATTCATATACCGTATATACCTCTGAACTGAGGCTGTTGTGGCGGGGGGTTGTTTGTTTGAAGTCGAAACTCGGACAGAAGTTTGTCGGCTTGAATGCCGTGTTGTATTGTTCCCTTAGAGTGGCCCTTAAGCAGAATGCCCTTTTGGAAAGAATATTGGATCAATTGGATGCAGATCTTTTTGTTGATTGGCTGACGACGGTGGTGCTCACAAACATCTACTGGGGTGGAGACTCCAGTGACAGTCAGTAAGGGAGATCCAATAACTGTCAGCAAGTCTCGTGTGGCAATGTTCTGCAATCTTGGAGACACATCACATTGAGAGCTTGACAGCATTGAGTTTACTGGAAAGGACCACAGGCCACCTTGTGGAGCAACCGTCAATTTGCAGCACTGAGCCGTTTCATGCGGAAGTCTTGATGGGCCTGGTGGCCAGGTGGCTAGCTGGCTAGGAGGCATATTTTTGTAGCAAGCTGTGGCTACCCGAGCTTACTTGATTCTGGCTGTTCCGTGGAAGTTGTCGATCTATCTGCTTCTGTCACCAAGGCTCAAGGGCGGTGAGACGCGACCGCGTGTCGCCCCTGAGTTTTTCTCCCCTTGCAGCCAGGTGGGGCGAAGCTGTGGAAAACGGGTGGTCGTGGTGTTGGAAGGTGGCAACAGGTGGAGTAAAGCCGTATTTTTTTCAGGGCTTGCAGTGTGGAAAACGCCGGCTTCACCATGCGATTGGACGTTTCATCTTTGAACTTGATTCATCCTCCGTCTTTCTTGGAGTTAGAGCGAAAGGAGGTTGTTCAAGAAGTTGTGCTTGCAGCTCGGGGCCCTTGGAAACCGTGGCTTTTCGGCGTTTCTCGAGAAGGACAGTGGTCCTGCGGTGCGAAAGATGCAGGCGGGCCGGGAGGTGTGACGGAAGGGCAACTCGAAAGCTCGCAGAGTAGTCTTGGGTGCTCATTAACATTTTTGGCCTTGCACCTTCCTTTCCACTTTGCGGATGGAGGGCTGCTCATTAACATTTTTCGTATCCAGGAAGTCTATCCTTTCCTTTCTTCTCCCCCGTTTGGTGTTTGCTCTTTGCTGCATGATTTCATTTTCGATCCCACATCAATTATCAATTCGCCTTTGGAAAGGAGAGGTGAATCATTTTACGATGTTACATGCAAATGACATTTTCAATCAATGGCAGCATTAGATAGCTAGATCTCCCAAAACTACTTGCATATACTTCGAATGTACCACTGGAAAGACACCTATTTTTGTGGCACCACCTATGACAATGTTTTGGCTACTCATGCAGCCTGCCAGTGCCCGAGCTGCAAGCGGGTCGTTGAAGTCACATGCTGCCACCAGGCCAATGACATGCTGAGTCCGGGCTCTCGCAAGTCATATCAGTCGTATCCATTCTTGGAAGGTTTGCAAGAGGACATGTGACGAGATTGCGTCGGACCCTCCTCGCGATGCGGCCCTCAGCCATCGATCAGCACACTCCCGAAAGAACAGCCATGATACAAAGCGGTTCTGTGCTGGATCGGTCTCAGTCTGAGCTGCTCGCGTCCACTGCGCGAGCAGAAGCAGCGGTTGGTCGGCCACGAGCCAAGGCTCCGGTCGGACACAGCGAGGGGTGGTCAGCCTTCGTGGTTGAAAGAAACGACACGGTGCTGGGGGGATTCACTCAGGTCGATGCGGGTTGATGAGTAGAGTATATATATATATATACCCCGGTCGTGTACAAGCAATTGGTACTATGGTATTTGGTACAGACCCGTGGATTCTTCCCAAGGTCGTGATTCCTGGTTTTTGATTCCTGACATCACCCATGACATTCACCTGATTCAAGCCACAGAAGTTGGAATCGTTTGAGCTCGTGGGAGTCTGTATGGGGTTTTGTTATTGGCAGGGGTGCAGAGTGGAGATTGCATTTGCATGGTTTGAGAATTGCATGGTTTGCATTGGAATTTGCTTCACCCTTTTGCGGTTGGAGCGATGGCTGTGGTCAATTCGGACCTGCTGGGACCGCCCCGACCGCCGCGCCCCGTCGGAGTGGAAGATCCCAATAAGACCTTTGGAGCTCCTGAGGTGCTAAGGGAGCTCCCAGACCCTCCGCGAAGCCATACCTGAAACATGCCTGAAACAAGCCTCCCACCGAAGTTCGTCCTACAAAATGGATCCAAATGGTATTGTCCATCCACATGGCCTCTCCCACCCACCAGAACGGTGGGTGCCATTTTTGGGGGAGGAGATGGATTTTCGTGTCATGTGAGTGATTCACCAATGTCCAGGGGTGGTTTTGAGCAGCACATGCAAATGCCCTAGAAGTCCAAAGACTATATTCTGCCTCAGTGAAGTAAAGGAAATCCCCTTAAAGACCATTCTTTTACGGTCTTTGACTCCCAGAGAATGTATACAATCCCCTTTGACCTACGTATGAAGGCAGCGACCGTGCTTGTCCATAGCCCTCTGACTGCTCTTCTGTTCGCGAATGCCCAGCACACAGCTGCAGGGCCATGCAAGGATGGTGTCTGAACCTTGCAAGGGTGGTGCTCCTATCTACTTCTGCTTCGGGTTCATCGTAGTGTCCCATGCTTGGGTTTGGCATGCCAACCACACACCCAATAGAGTCAATAGAGCTTACATTTTCGAAACTACCTCAACAAGGAGTAGGCTGGTGTTCTTTCGAGTCTCCTGTGTGACTGGGATCTTGAGCAGAGAACTCAGAGAATGCAGCCACCATTCTCCCAAGTTGGAATCTGAAGTGGGCGGCACAAGGCCTTGAAGAGGTTTATTGAACTGCCCTGTTGCTGACAGCGATAGGTTCAGATTCCATGAATTTCATCATGGATCCTTGAATCCCGCCTAAATGGATCTGGACGTGGTTCAAGAATCTATGGAACGCCAGACAAAGCTGGCACCCATTTTTTAACATGCAGTTATTGGTCCATCGCATGGCGGTCGATGGCCGTCGTGAACCATCGAGGGGAGTAGGCCCCCAAAACACCTCCGACTCCGACCTACGGATGGTCTGGCACGGCCAGACCGCGAAGCGAATTCTTTTTTGTTTGGCGATGGCGTTTTTAAGCTCAGAGAGACTTGTCAATGTAGTCAATGCAGTCCAACATGTGCAGCAACATTTGCTCAACTTCGAAGTATTGTGCTTCCAGGTTGATCATGTTTGTTCCCCATACTTTGCGAGACTCCACTCTAATTGATGGCTTCAAGACTTGTTTCCACGGGTGTTCGGCAGCAAACGTCCACGTGAACGTCCAGAAGTGCTGTTTCGCCACCTGTGAGCCGAGAGCGCACCGTTGAGCCGAGATCCTGTGCGATGGATCTAATCCGACGAGTCTGCGACGCACTCCGGGCCAAGCAGCGCTGTGGCTACATCACCAGAGCTGAAAACAAGGGCCAACGGCTTCCAGGATGAAGGTACCAAGCGATTGGCCGCGTGATTCGCTACCGAAAACGGCGCCAACGGGTATGATGACTCTTTGGGATTTCCGAACCACACCTGGACCGGAAGAAGCCGCGGACATCAAAAAAGACCTCTTTCTTTTTTGGAGTAGCCGTGGTTCTATGGGGGCCGCGTGGATTACGCCGGTCCCATCGTGGCGCGTGGATTGATTGTGCCACACCCGGTGAACTGGGCCTTTTTGAATCCCAGACGAGGCCAGGAAAGACGGTGAGGCCAGAGCTGATATCCTTTTAACATCTTTTAACTCTTTTCCAGGAAATCGCTACTGTTGTTGTCTGTTTTCAAGACTTTGTTTCATTTTTCACACCCTTGCCTTGTCACTGAAGTTCCTGGTTTGGTCCGGATGATGCACCAGATCAGAGGAGGCTGGCTCACGGAGAGAGGCGCATCAATTTGCTCCCGACATCAGCTGTCCAGGACCTTCAGTTGAAGAAAGCCAGGTGGAATACTTGTGGGTCATGGACCATTCTTTCTTCAAGGTTTATGGCACATTCTTCCACTTTTTTTCGATTGAACTCTTTGGAGGGATACTTGCTGGGTTTCCTATCACACTTCGAAACGAAAGAGAGATGGACGACTCCATGCTTCTCCAGAGGTAGGTTTGTCTCCACCTGTCCTCACGTGATCAGGAGGTGAGTATGTTCACCCTCGGTGAGACCAAAGAGGTAGGCTTGCCAGGGAGTTGCTTTCGTCAGGGAACATCTCGCCATCCGCTTCGGACGGGAGCTTGGAGTGCGCGCTTCTTCTGATCCCTGCGGTTCGAGGAACCGAAGACCCCTGGCGAGACGCCCTGGACAGGCCGCAATCAAACGCGCCCTTTTTTTGGCGCAAGGACCGAACGGCAGGGTCTCTTTTTTTATTTATTGGTCTCCTCCAGCGGAACACCCCCAGAACTCACCCCCTTCCGGAGATCTAGATCTAGATCCAAGTGGGTGGTACAGTTTTTTTGGGGTTTCATCCTACACTCCTCAAGTACTTTTTTTTGCCAAGGGCGGTCCACTTCAATGACATTGTACTGTGACTGGAACGGGTTTTACCTCCACTCCTTGCAAATCATCGTCGTGCACGTGGAGAAGGCACCACCACCTGGGAGGGACGTCTTCGGAGAGTCTTCGGGGCTTTGAAAACGTACGCAGCGGTAGGATTTCGGAGAGTCTCGACCCACGGAGGAGCTTTGAAGCTGGTTTCAACCAGCACAAGACCGAATTTTAGACACCTGTTGTCCTGTTGAAACCAGCACTCTTGAGCTTTGATGTGGATATGGTCCTTTCTCTTGTCCTGGATTACACAACTGAATCTTCTTCAAACGTATGCTGGACACCCTTTCATCTTATATTTCGGTTCATGTATAGCTACAATATTTGGTTCATGTATAGCCGTGTTTTTTTTTTTTTGAATGCCTTGTTCACCTTCTGCAAGTTGGATTTGACAAATGTGAGTAGGCGTTCCCACTCTTTCGACTCTGACCTCTCGCCCAAGGGAGACCTTTAGGAAGCCAGGTCACAAAGCTGGCCTCGCCAAAGTCATGAGTAAGTTTACTAAGTATGAAAAAGGTCCGTTGAGCTTCTGAAGATGTGACGGGACAGTGCCGCTTGAACATTCTTGGCATGAGGGACTCGAGGGATTGATACCAATGGTGAAGGTGCAGGCTCTTTGACGAGAGGCCGTGTCCAGGGTGCAAACAATGACGGGGCTGTTGCCGTTCCTCTGCACACGCGGATGTACTGCACACGGGTTGCCTTCCTTGGGGCAAAACGAGCGCTTCGTGGGTCGGTGATAAAGAGGAGGAAGCCCACTTTGGTGAGGCCCAGCTTCGAGGAGGAACAGGGCCCAGGGCCCCCTATTTTTCCAAGCACGTTTCTTTTGATGTTCGTCTTTGGTCCTTAGGAGTAGACTGAGAGTGGCACACCAAAGACCTTTGCTCCTTGTGACAGCCGACCCACTGCCTGTTTCAAAAGAGAGCCACAGTACCATACTGTGGACCAATGCTTGTGGATGATCATGAGTTGTGCCTACCTGCGACACTCGGGCTTGCCTTAAATGCTTTCTGTAAGCCTAGAGATATTGGATGCATCAAGTGTCCAAACCAGAACTTCAGGAGCCTCCGAGCCATGCTGGTTCAATGAGGATCCTTACACTTGCGGAAACTCTTCCGTACAAGTCAAAGATAAAGGTGGTTCAAGACTGCGCAGACTGGTCCGAAGATGATCATCTGAGACTTGACTCAAATGCTAGTGCCGTCAGTTTCTTTGATTGAGCCACCGGCAGAAAGGGTCAAAAGGAGAAATGCTGCCAGCGCTGATGTGGGGATGGGTCAAGAACTGTAGCCCCACCACCATGTAGCTTGACCATGGTGAAGGGCCCTTGGGAAGCGCAGGATCTGGAGGCAAGTCACGTCGGTAAGTCAACCAAGGTATTCAGGTAGGTCAACTTGGAGCCTTCCAGATTTTGTCCACATTCCATGCCAGCTTTCGTTTCTGTTCTTGCAATCTTGTTTCGTTGCTGGCGGCGGATATTCGGTTTCACTTAGTTTGTGAGGTGTGACATATGTGTTTATTCTGTGTGCAGTGTGGTATTTACCCCAGTTGCCTGGTACCCAGCCAAGCTGAAGGACCTAGGGACGCGCTCAGACACGGTGCGCAAGTTCTGTCGGTAGGTCAACCAAGGTTTCCGGTATCCTGGTTTTGACCCATAGCATGCTGTATGTATATAAATGTATGCATACATGCCAGTACATATAACATTAATATGTATATATGATATAACTACATGGGAACGATGCCACCAGGCGCCTGGTCTTGTCGGCAAATCAGTCATGACGCCCCCAGTCACCCTGCGGCGCATGCGTGCGCACCCTATTTTCGCCACTTGCCAAAACTACTTCGTGTTCCACATGATGGAGAGCTTTTTCACGTTCTCCTCAGGTGATCCACCCATCTTCTTGCGTCGAAACACCCACTGCCACACACGCATCTCCAGCTTTGCTGAATGCGTGGCCTTCACACCCTTTGATTGTTTTTTGTTGCCTGTCTGTGGCAGCCAACTTTTCAAGCTCTTCCGAAGCACGCTCGACAGAGGCACGCTCGCGTAGCATCGTCATGGTGCCCCCTGGCAAGAGTCCTTTGGAAAAAACCACCAACGCTGAAACTAAAGGTGACAAACCTCTACCAGTCTCCAAGTGATGTTCGCCAAACCCCACGAAAAATTCTCAGTAGTCCGTCAAACATTGAAAATCCAAACACCAACGGTCCTGGTCCAAAACTATTTCGATGGTCAAACCAACCAAAGGATCCCCACTACGAACTTTACACCAAACTAAAGAAATCTTCCAGATAACCTGGGTGAACACGAAACCAAGGTTGAAGAACCGGGGGTACCTCGTCTATGTCCACAAAACCCGCCAACCGCAACAAAAGACACAACGAAACGCACCGAAAAACAAAGAAACAAAGGTTGCGGCATGTCTTGACTGAACCAAAAAACATGCATGTGCCCAAGCACGTGTGCCTAACTGAGTCTAACCCGCAGTCGAAGACAAGCCCAAGTATACAGTACGCTACGCAACAGGTGTGCTAAGCGACGCCCCCCCCCCCCCCCCCCCCCACGCACCCATGTCAACACATGAAGAGACGCAGTGCGTGCGTTTAGAACGTGAAAACACAACGAAAACACCAGGCGCCCCGCAGCGACGATGGCAACTACATATGGCTACTCTATTAGTGCTAAAAGCACACACAACAGTTGGCGCGACAGGTTGGCCTTTTTCGCCTGTTGTACTCGGTGGTTTTTGGCCTTGGGGATCCCACATCCGATTTGCACATGCGCGTAGAAGAACCCGTAGGAGTCCTTTTGCACCGCAAGTGGCTGGGCCCTGTGTTGGACCACTCCATGTTCATGCCCCCATTTCAATGTTCTGCTCAGGGAGCTTCACCGCTTCTGAGCCCACTGGGTGATCCAACGGCCTGAGCCAAGTGCAACCAAGAGGCTTCACCGCGCTGGGCCAGAAATTCTGTGAGTCAGATGATCATTCGACCTCCTCGGATGGAGGTCGTTTTCGGTCGAAAGGCCAGGACCGCCGTCATGGGGGCGGCGCTCCGGTTCGCTGAAGTCCTGGGGTCGGAGAGGGCCGTTTTTGGGCCTTGGCTCGGCCGGAGTAGCTTGCAAGGGGAGACCTGACTGGCCAGGAAATGACGGAATGGATCCTAAGCAATCCTTTCGGTACCCTATAAAAGATGTCAGGACCCAGTCAGCATTTCCTGCTCTTCTTCAGCATCAAGTCAAGTCTGCCGCCATCCCACGGTGCACCTCGGCTCAAGATCGGCGCTTGCCCGGTCCGAGAAGCAGGCCTTCAGTGAGGCAGGGATGTGGTGAAAGGGATGTGGTGAAAGGTGGGTGGGCCGGCTCTTGAAATGAGAGCAAGTGCTGATTTCATCTGATTTGGATAAGACATACTGTGTATATTCCCAACAGCAAAATGCAGTGTTTCGGGGCTGGGAGTGGTGCGCACTTGGTCACCATCGCCCGAAATCCAACCCTGGGTGCTGTTGTGTTGGTACCCTTGCTGTGAGGTGCCACCTTGAAACGTTGGGAATGCTGCCTTGGAACCCTTGAGCCTTGGAACCGTGTCTGTAATGAGAATGCTGGTTCTGCCAAATGCTGTGTTCGTGATACGGCCTTGGAACGTTGTTAGGTGCATGTCCCTACCAGACGTTTCTGCAACTGCAACTGCTTTTTCACATGTAGTGTCCCTTGTGTCACCGCTACGAAGCAATCTTTCCTGCAGCACAAGACGTGCGGTTGTATGTGCAGTAAGGCCACAGGCAGTTGCACATGCCAGGTAGGACGTTTCTGCACCAGAAACAGCTTTTGCACGTGTGGTTCCTGCCTCTGTTGCAGAACTTCTACGCTCAGCAATGCCACACGCAGCTGCATGTACCTGGTATAGGACGTTTTTGCACCGTTGCCGCACATCCCTTGCAGACCAACAGGATATGTCTAGCAGAACGTTTGTGCATCGGCAACAGTCTTTGAACTTGTGGTGTGCTTTGTGCCTCCGTTGCGAAGCATTCTTCCTACTCACAACGAAATAGAGGCCACAGGCAGCTGCACGATGTTGCACCTCCTTAGCGGGACGGTTCGGTGCTGTGGTGTGCTTTCTGTCTCTGTTACGATTCATTCGATTGCTTAGTCGTGGGGCCATTTTTTTGTAGTTCTGCTCTTCTCCGTTTGCAACACATAGTTGGAGCGTTTGAAAAGTCCCAGTCAATTGAATTGCTATTGGTGTTGGGTCGCGAAGCCGGGTCTATATTTCTATATGAATATATGTATTTAACATAAACTATATCGCCTGGAGCCTCTGAGCTGAGCTGGGAAGTTCTGCCATTCAGCTGACCCACTCAATTGCTCAGGAATCCGGACCTAATTGGAGCCCACGGTGTAGATTTTTAAAGCTTTCATGGACCCCAAACAGAGAATGAAAACATATACAGACATTCATAAGCCTTACATCGGACGGAGCTCTTGGTTCAGTTGCCAGGTCAAGGGAAGTGTGGGGAAAAACAGATACACTATGAAAACAGATGCAGTCACCTGATTTCATTGCGTGTTTTCCTTCTGGGGAACACCTGAGCTAGACTCATCATAGACCTTGCCATCAAGTCCAGGATGGCAGCTGGCGGATGAGCCGAATCTTCCGTCCAGCGGCCGGAATCGCATGGTGCGGGAACCCGTCACTCAAATCCTTTAGATATCCCCAGATTTCAGGGGAATTGTGGTCCCTACTCTAGATAGGGGTACCATTAGAGCAGATTGGCATCAGATTGGCTGCCTGCAAGCGAGCTGGCTTTACCGAAAGGCAAAGGACAGAGGATGATTGATGAAAAACACTGTCTTTGAAGAGCAAGAGCTGGTGTACAACTTTATAACAATGCAATGGAACCAAGCAAACCACCCCCCAAGCTGATAGATTCAGATCATCAGATCAACGCCTGGTGTGCCCTGATGATTTCAGGCACCTCACATAGAAAAGAGTGCTTTCGGATCACTCAGTCAGGTCAAAGAAGAGTTGAGTTCCCTTGTAAATTTGCGAAGGATCCAAGAAAGGCTCTTGACAATGAACCTGTCAGAGGAGCTGACCATCGAACGGGACCCTTCAGATCCAAGGGTTTCCAAGAAGCTCCCCCGACCAAGCAACTCCCGCCCCGTCCCTTTTGTTTCCCGCACCGGTTCCCCGTGCCCAAACGCTTGAGGTCCATATGCCTTGTTCTTGTGGCTTCAGAGCGCATCGATGAGGCTCGCCTCGATCTGGAGGCACAGCGGCACAGCGGCACTCGGGGGGGAATCGGATCGCCGGTTCTCCCACAGGGTCGCGTGGCTTCATATGAAGAGGAATTCCAATTCAATTGGGGGGGAGTCTACAGGAATGATGTGCCTACCCAACTACTTTGTAAAACTGATGGTTGTTTGAGTCTTGTTTTGAGACTAGTGGGTGACAGGACCCCGAGGTGGGCCCAAGCGGGAGCACCCGCTGCTGGTGCGGAACACCTACTAAATGGGCTGGAAGATCGGGTGAGCACCTAGCGGCCCAGCCACCCAGGCGCCCAGCCGCCCCCACCATGGCCGCCACGAGCACCAGCACCGCTCTCCGCGGCGTCACCGTGCGCCGGAGATCCGTGTGGTGGACTTCGAGCGTGCGGCTTGGCGGCTTTTGGTGTTTTTTTTTTTTTTTGTGTGTGTGTGTGTGTATCGGGAGGAGATGGGGGAGTCCCAGGCATGCACGTTTAGCACTTTGATGATTTTTGATGTATGTCTTCAATGATTCAATGATGTTCACAGTACATCATGTTTGTAAGTGTCAAAGTCAGCTCCCAAAGGGCCACGTTCTTTTTTGGGCCTTCTGCTTTGGCCACTCGGAACATGTACCCCCCTCTCCCCCTTCCTGGCTCCTCCGACCGAGGCCTCCTCGGCCTTGCAGTCGGAGGCCCGGACGGAGGTGCACATGATGCCCGGCATGGCCCCTCGGAGCGCGGAGAGACGGAGAGACGGCCGGGTTGGTTTGAAAAAGGTTCCGGCAATGGTGTGTGTGGTGGCACTGGGTGGCTGAATGAAGTGGTGGGTGAGGGGATTTGGAATGTGGATGAGGAAACTTAGATGGCCTAGGGCAGCAGCCTAGCAGCCAGCATGACCATTTGAGAGCGGTGTGGCTGATGGAATTAAGTCCAGTCAGCCAGGGAGGATCTCCCGATCTATGTATCGATGCATCGGGTTCCGAAATTCCTTGTCCAGCAGGCTTGCCTCTGTGCACTTTTGGTGCGGAAGTGACTATGGGAGGAGGACTGAGTTGTGTCACGAATGACCCAAGCCTGTTGGGATCCAGGGAATCTGCTCCGCTACTCCAATCCCAGTCACCCACCGCACCATGCGCTTGGTCAATCGCAGAGGGTTGCTGGCAAGCAAGTGGCTGGAACCACGGGAGTAAGTAGCGGACGGACTACGCCTGGGCATGGCACCGGCCAAGGATGGCATGGGGCAAATGATGAAGATCTTGGCTCTTTGTGCCGTGGTGGGTGCGCTGTGAACCGTCTCGGGTCGCCGGTCGATCGACGCATGTGGGTGTCTGGATCAGAGGCCAGTGAGGAAGCGGTGGTGTGAGAGACATGGAATTTCGGGCCGAATTCGCAGTGTGGGACCTAAGTCATTGGTGGGGAGCGACTTGACGGACGCAAGAAACATGTTCCTCAGAGTCCAGCTGCACACGATTCTGGATCTTCAGCTGGCTGAAATCTCCAGGCATTGCCTACAAGATGATCAGCTCCATGTTCGGATGCCCTGGCATTGGTAAGGTGGACATCAGCAGCAGGGGCTGGCCATGGGCCAACGGTGGTTTGAGCCTGAACTTCGTGCAAATGAAATAAACATGCTTGTTCCTACATACTGCAGATGGACGACATGATGGACAAAATCATTACCCCCTTACAAAATAGCAATGCGCACCAAGAGTATCAAAGAGTTCAGAACAAGACAAACCAGACAAGAAACGTGGGCAGGGGGAGTTGCGCAAGAGGTTCCTCTTGGGAAGCCGAAACCTCAGAACCTCTTGACCTAGCTTCAGGGCATCAAGCTTTGGTCCATCTACCAGCACCACTGATTCCGGGTGTCCATTAATAGCCCGACTGGGGGTCCACACCGATTCGTTTCTTCTCAGACCCCCCCAAATCCCGGCGACCCCCACACCGACACCGACCGGGGATTCGAGCACCGCTCAGCAAGGTGCGCCTCGCGCAAGTGCGACTGCCGCAGGCGGGGCGGATCGTGCGCAGGGACCAGATCGGCACCTGGCGCTTCAAAGAGGGTGGATCTTCCCGAGATTTCGCAGTGATTTCTATAATTTTTTCTATTCCTAGAACCTGATGGACCCCTGTTTTGGAGCCAAAACATGGTCTTTTCCTATCAAAACAGGGGTCAAATGGGTTCTATATAGGTATATATTATAAATAGGTCTCCTCAGATTTTGCCTTCAGACGCTGGGCGACTTTGGCACCTCGGATCGTTATTGGGTCTCCTTCTCATGGAGACACCTCGTCACAGCCAGACCAGCCCGGTCTCGTCCGGACTTCGTTTCTTTGTGTCATGGCCACCGGTCGAGCGACCGCAGACCCATCGGACCGGGACGACTGACCGGGACGGTGGACGACCGACCTGGGCGAGGTTCAAGATCATTGCCCAGTGCCTCCTCGCCTGGGGCTGGGACGAGCCACTGGGCCCACCAGTCGACGCGAGTCGAGGAAAAGAGACGGGTCGAGTCGACAGAAGAGGAACACCCGAATTCTCCGAAGAGACCACGCGACCGTGGTTTGGGGGAGGGAAAACCCGTGGCTGGTCCCTCCGAATGGTCCGTCGCGTTTCTGGATGGCCAGACACCCAGCCAGTGGGTTTTTGGCCTTTGCGGTTTCATGCAGTCGACGACGTGCAGTGGCCACCCCAGCATAGCGTCAGGTGAACGCACTCGGTCAAACAGAAGACCCATCAGGGCAGCCAAGTACCTTTCACGCTTAAAGTGGAGCGGCACCCCGTGAAGGAACATCCCAAAGTGACTTTGCAACCTCATCATGATTCGGAAGCTGCAACACTTTCATGAAGGAAACCGTTGGATTATGAAAACCCAACTTCTTCAAAGGTCCCCTATAGAGAAGTGACCAAACTGAAGAGTAGATCCCAACCACTTAAAGAACTGAAAAACGATTCGAAACTGAGATCTCATCGATTCATCACGCATGACATAAACACTACGCCGAGACTTTGTCTTCTTCTTCCCTTTGTCGTAAACAGGAGTCATGTGTCGCATCGCCAAGATGACAAGGCAATGTACACTTCCAACATCTTCCAACAAACTAACTTCCCCATCTGTGTCCAGCCACGCATCCGAAACCAGTCCAAAAACAACTTGGTGATTCGCTCACCAAAAGGAACATCCACCTGGCAATCCAAATTTCACCTGTTCGAGCGGAAGATGTCCAATGCCCTGCTGTATAAAATCCTGAAGAGATGGAGTTGATGGCACGATGATCCCAGAATTTGGTTTGTTTTAAGAAAACCACTTAGGCTATCTCTGATGGTTTGTCCAAAAAAAGGGAACAAAGCAACTACAAAAAGCAACAGCAAAAAAACGCATCTGAACAAGCAAAAGCAAAAAAAATCCAAAAGGCACCACAAAAGCAAATTAAGAAGCACACACACAAAGAACCGATTTAAAGAAGCACAACAATGAAAAGGCAAAAAGAGAAAAAACACAAAAAACGAACAAAAAAGAAAAAACACAAGGCAAATGAACAAGCAAAAAGCGAAAAAAAAGCGAACAAACAAAGCGAACACAAAACAATGAAAAAGCAGAACAAAAAAAAGCGAAACAAAAAGCAAAAAAAGAAACAATGCGGGCAATCCAAAAAGTGATGTAAACAAAAAAATAAAACAATCGGAAAAACGCAAAAAAAGAGTGAGTTAGCCTGGGTCCGGCGATGTTAAGGTTTGTTGAATCCCATCATTTGGTTCTTGGCATCCACCCAAAACCTGCAAAGTACTCACCCAACAAGCATCTTGTTTGTGCACCCGTTCATGGTACAACTGAACTCAAGGAGTTCAACCAATCAGCATGCTGAACTCTGATGACACCCAACCAGTGTGTTTTAGTCATGTTCCTTCTTCCAGAGGTCTTTAGGAGTTATCCCTATTTTGATACACAGCCATATAATTGATATACTTCACGCACCTAGGCCTTTCGAAATCCGAGCTAATATGGATGGTAATCCATCCATCCAGCAGCTTCCATTTTGCTATTGTGCCGCCGTGCCATGGCCCACAGAACTACTCTAGACTAGGGCACAGGCTGAAGACTCAATGGCCATGGTATTGATTTGCATGTTGATTGGGGTTGCTATGGCGACCCCTTTGGATCATGACTGCGTCGAACCCGCGTCTATCATGAACTTTTTGCTGCAGGTGGAAACACAGAAAAAGTTTGCAAGAGGAACAGAAGGAGATTTGACGAATTGTGGGCGTTTGGTTGAGGACAAGTGTGATCCAACAGCAAACTTTTTTTGCAGCAACAATTGCAAAATACACACACATGGGCAAGATTGCCATCGACCAGTTCCAGAGGTGATGGCCGAACATCCGGGAATCGATGGGTATTGCTATTTCAATCAAACTGGCTTTTGGGTGACCCGGATTTTGTCGAGTCTGCGAAAGGGGGCATCCTTGGTCTAAGGGGTCCCCTGTACCAAGGGAAAGATCAAGGTCCGCTCATCACTTACAATTTTGAGGGTCGGACGATCACAACCTACATGGACTCCTCGCACTATTCATTTGATGATTTGTATGGATATTCCCTGGGCTATTTGCAAGGGCAGGGCTTTGATCCAGAGTTGGTGAAGAACAGCAGCCAGTGGGTGACTATCTCCAGACAGAAGTGCTTGGACATCCAGGCAAAGTACAACTTCCAAAATGAAGCCTTGCTCTTTCTCAAGGAATTTTTGTTTATGTTGTTTCCTTTCAGCTTCGGAACGAGTTGTTTCTCGCTCTCCAGAACGGGAGGGTCCAAGATTGACGGCCCCAGTCATTCTGTAGAGGCTGCATAGTAGTAAGGAGGACAGCTGTGCAATTGCTGACGCTTGGTTTCTGTATCGTGAAAACCAACAATCATTCTAGTAGTGCGACAATCATTGCGGGGCTTTGCATCGTCAAGCTGTGGCAAGGGGAACCTTCTGGAGCTTTTTAAACACAGACTTAATAGGAGCAGATGGAAGCGTTGACAACTTTGAAGGCCATGGAATGTCTAACTATTTCGCTGTATTTGTAGTGGTTGATCAACTTTGCGGAGCATAGGCCCATACTTCACTTGTGAAAACTTGATTCGCTTGAAACGAGTCCGAGTCGTAGTTAAGAACGAAACGGGCCAAACGTAGTTGAGGTTTAATAGTGTACATACAGGAGTACATCCCTCCGTGTTGACATGTTGTGTCTTGTGTAATGATGTAGCTAGCTGAAAAATGCTGAAAACATTCATTCTGATTTCATTGACTTTTGGCTCAAGCTGACGCGAAACAGGAACGCGTTGCGATTCACTGAGTTTTTGACCGGTGGGTCACTCACTCAACAGGTTAAAAGCCTCAGTGCGTATCCTTTCGCACACCTTTTTGGACTTCGATAGAGCAGTCGAACCCTTGCCTTGTGCGAACAGCGCCTTCGTTTTTTTACCTCAGGTCTTCGACCCGAGCGCCTTCCCTATCTAGCAGTTCAACTCCTATGGCCGAGCTGCATTCGTATTGTCTTGGAGGCTTGAGCCGGAGTTCCTAAGTAACCACCGAATCAATGCAATGGCGCTTGACCAACTTCGACTCAGAGACTTAGTCTCGGCATTTGCTTGACTGATCGCCCTGCTTCTGAGAACCAGCAGAGAGCCTAAGTCACACACACCAAACGCGGCGATGCATCAAAGCTTTCGTGCACTCGTCTCGGCCCGAAGCAAAGACCAGCGCCAAGTCAATAGCACTTATAGCAAGATCACAAGCGTTGCTGCTGCGATTGTTTGCGTTCATCGTCTTGCGGCTGGCAGCGTTCTCTTTCACATGAGCGGCTGCAGCACTTACCCGCCTCGTACGGCAAGCGTCGTGAACAGAAGCGTGGTGGAAAGCAACATCGCCGAAGGAAGAGCTTTTTGCGGGACCCTCCCCTATTATCTAACTTCACGACGCTTTCCCCGAGTACTGAAAGAGTTTTGCAAGATCCTTAGAGCTTCTATACTGAGTGCATGAGAGTTATTGAGATTGAGTCTGAGGTCGCGAGTGGCTGCGTCGAACTGGAGGAAGTGACGGGGAATTCTGGGCTGATCCAGGCCCTGAGGTGCTGGAACGTCGCAGAAGTTAATTTTGTGGCAAGTAGCTGGCAAATCAAAACAGCTAGCTAGCTGTCATTGATTTGAGTGCCCAGCGACCATCAAGGACATGAAAAGGTCGACTCGAGCAAAAGCAGTCATGTATGCATTTGGAAGTGGCTGGGCCATTCATGTATGGATATGGAAAATGGTTGATCCAAAAAAGAACAGAGAAGAACTTTGGCTGCGCCAGAGGACATTTTTCACTTCTCTTTACTCTGGCAGGGTGGAATCGCTCGAAGCAGGTTCAACTTCCCAAAATTTTCTATACACCCTGGATTCTATAGGAAAAGTGGTTGTTTTTTGTTACCGAAATTGGTCTCTCTATAGAATAAAAATACAAGAGGTCCAATCTTTGTGAATTTTATAGTACCATTCCTCTCACATCGCATCAGGTTTGTATGTTATAGAGGCATGTGTTTTGAGGGCAACCCTGCACACTTGGTTCTATACTAGTCGTAATTTTAGCAAGTGTTCTATTTCTATAACTGTGTGACAATTGGAATAAAACCATGTAAAAACAATGATTATCTCTTTAGATCTCTATACTTTTTCGGGCTGGCAAGAGTTCAAATCGAGTGTTTACTACACGTATTCATTTTTCGATTCTATAGCGGAGGGTTTGCTTCAGGTGTCACTTTTTTCAGTCAAGCATGTTCTTTTGATTTTGTAGTATTCTTGCTTTGTCTGATCTGTGATCTAGATTTTATAGTGGGGCATCTGGGGTCTGGAGCCTGGTTTTTGCTACAGAATTAGGGTGTACAGGGTAGACTGTGATTTCACACGGGGACGCCAAAACAAATTAGACTAAACTTTGAAACTTTGGATTAGACGTGGCCATTTTCACTGCGCTGTGGCCATTTTCACTTTGCCATGTGCGGGGACCATGAATTCAAGGTGAGTGTCGCTCTCACATTGAGGCAGGTCAAAAGTAAAGTCGTGCATTTCACAGCCAAACAGGTCGCAATCAAGCGCTCGTTGCTAGCAAAGCAAGAGAATACTAAAAAACATGTTTCTCAACAAAAACGCGCGTTGCTGCGTTACTGCACCAACGCCGTGGTGAACCAGGTTCTGTCGAGATTGGAAGCGGTGATGCAGCAGTGGAGCCCTTTGCTTGCAAAGATTTTTTTCACCACATAAGTATCTCTTTTTTCTTCGCTCGTTTCGCCAGCACTCAGGCCAGCGCCGTCGCAGCCGCGGTCTCAAGGGCAAGTTCGCCTTGCCCCTTGAGGCCGCAGCCACCTTCGCAGCGCTGGCCAGCCGAGGTCCTACTCCTTCTTACCTTCACCCATCTTTTGTCCGTATTCTTCGCATCGTCTACGCA